AGGACCTTTCCTGTAGTTAGCTCAATAGAGGATCTGCTGGGCAGTAAGTCCCAGAGTAAGAGTGCTTTTACTTTCATAAGACCGATGGACTGGCCAATCAGTCAAAGTTGTTTCTGTCCATGTATGGCATCATGAAGGATGGTCAACACAGATCTTACTTCGGTGATGGCTGATAAGATCGTGTCTCCTCAGAATGCTTTCCTTGTCTTTCCTTGTCTTCTCCTCTCTCTCTCCGTTACACAGCAATCTACCCTAGCTCACAAGCTCGCAGTGGTTCGTCTTGCCAAGCTGGCAAACCTGACATTCGCGCCACACATATCAACATTCTGCAGAGCTGCTCAAGCTGGATTTGATCCTGGTGGTTGGCCCGAGCAGCCGTCGTATTCAGGAGAAAAAAGGGCCGGAGCTCAGAAGCCAAATCTATGTGTCATACTGGCCAAGAGCCGAACAAGGACGCAGAGCGAGGTGGCCAAGAGCCAAGCAAGCACGCATGAAAGGGATTTCTGACGCGAGCGAAGCTTGGATGGAACTTGCCAGCCGTTGCACAGCCGTTGGGGTGGTCAATAATGATCAGATGACACCCCTTCTCGCTGTTAACCTGATCGGTAAGTGGGAACATTGCTCATCATGGGGATATTTGTTTGTCCCCTCCTCTGCGGTCCTCAGCAGGTGCGGTCCCCTGGTATGCTGGAGCCGCCCCTCGCGTTTTGCAAGAAACCGACTCAGACTCGTGGCTTGATCTGCGAGTCCTGGGCTGCCAAGATAAGTGGCTTGTCCGAGCCTGTTCACCTCAAGGCCCTCCCATCCGTCCCGTGCAATATCACCGGCGGGTCATGGCAACAGGGGCCATCAATGCCGTATCCGTACTACTGGGATCATGCGGCATTGATGGCTCAGGGCAAAATATATGCTGTCGGAGGTGAGAGCTGTGCGGATCCCTTCTGCACTATATTTCTTGGTTTTCATCGGTCAGGATACATCGGAAGTGAAGGCCGGGCCATGGATCAGATCAGGGTCTTCGATCCTGAAACGAGCGAGTGGACTGACCTGTCTCCACTCCCTGAAGCACGACACCATGTCATGGCAAGTGTTGATCTCTCGCCGGCTGATGACGCCTTTGTCATCGTTGGAGGTGACTCAACACTTTCTGCAGAGAGAAAATTGCTGCAGTGTACTGTATATATAATAAAGGAATTGATGGGGAGCTGGGAGACCATGCTACTGCCAGCGCTTGGCTGTATAACATTACGACAGACACCATCATGGACCTGCCAGACATGCCCAAGACACGAGCGGCTGGAGCAGCGGTCACACTTGACGGCCTTATCTAACGTGATTGGTGGCATGCAAGATGACGGCGTGCGGCAAGACCTCAGCACTGACGTCCCGATCCCTTCGATGATGGTGTTCGATCCTTCGACCAACGAGTGGGGTGAGAGGGATGGCCCACCAGTGCACCTTGAGCACATCGCTGCCGCCGTCTTCGACGAGACTATTTGGGTAGTGGCAGGCAGATGGGGGTGGGGAGAGGGTCATCTTGAGAAAGGTGATACTTATCTTTACGACCGCAGGACGATGAGCTGGTATGAGGCCCCGCCTCTGAATCAGCCGCGGGCAGCTCATGGAGTTGCGGTTATCGATGATAAGTATCTTGTGGCCGTGGGAGGGGAGTACGATGGTACTCCGCTGACCTCCGTCGAGTTCTTAGCTTCTAGCGGTCTCTGCGGGAGACGCAAAAGCGAGTCTCAGAAACTTCGCGCCGCACTGATAGAGGAGGGCAGCGAAGATGCTTTCAGTCTACTGGGTCGCATAGCGCCAGCAGATTGTGACAACGTTCGGGGAAGTGACAAAAGGAAATGGATCAGAGGGAAAGATTTGCCCATTGCGGCGAAAGCTACTGGTAAGTCCTGTTGACACTGCCGAGGGAACCGTTCAGCAGTGGGAGTCTGCGCGGTGATGTGAATGACTGCAGCTGCAGGGGTGGGAGGTTCGCCATTACAACACATTTTCGTTGTCGGAGGAGGGCCGGGATACGCACAGGGAGATGTCCAGATATACACCCCAGACGCAATGATCCAAGTTGTATGAATTGTCTATTTTTTATCCGTTTGGACAAGAGGGCAAATGGGAGCACACAGCACGGAAAGCGTGAGACATATCCATATGACTGAAAGGGGAGTGTTCTCCTCAATCATTTGCACAATGAGAGGGCGGGGTCTGTCCTCGGCCGCGTGTTGCGTCAATTCATATCGAGAAAAAACCTACGGAGATCACATATGTATCCTTGCATCATGGTTGTCCGACTGTCGGGGGCTCCAGCACTCGCCTTCGTCATAAAGCCGCGAATGCAAATCACTGGGCTTAATCACAGTCAGGCTCTTCTGCACAGACTCCTGCCGGACCATTTTGCTGAGAAAGACATCTGAGGAGAGTGAGGCTGTAAAGCGAGTACACACACCTGCCTGCGAGCCACCCGCCCTGTTTGAGTGTGTGTTTTATCTTGCAATTCACAGCACACAAGCGGCTCCCGCTGGTATTAGGTCAAAACACAATAAATTACAGAAGACCTAAATGCATCGATGGAAAGAGCACCACACTCATCCTACTGCTCACCCTGGATGCATCTATGTACATGTGTCTATGTGGAGGAGACATGCTGTACTGAACGGACCCCACTCGTTCGCGATACGTGCACCCCTTCCAAGAGTGACACGAGACACATTTGGTCACGTCTGCGGTCGTGCACACCGCGTATGCCCTGCAGCTTACCGCGTACTCTCGATGCCGTGTATCATGTTGAGAGGTATACTGTTGCTCGATCGCGACATTGTGTCAAGTGCTGTATGGGCATGGCTGCATGTCGATGAGATATGCCGCATCCCAGGATAAACAGCCCAAGTACAGGATTTGCGCATCACAGGTAAGCATGTGACGTTTCTCTTGCTTAACCTTAACTATATGATCAGATAAGAGTCCTTCGATGCTCTCCTCGCCGCTACCGACTGCAGCTATTTCTGATTCGCCTTGTCAGAAAGACGTCAGCGAGGAAGAAAAAGAAAGGCCCGGCTTACCCTCATATCTCGAGTCCAGCTGAGGCTCAGCTGAACGTCCTCTGTACAGTGTCCGCACACACACACACACCCCAGAGGTTCGACACATTCGGTCTGTTTCTGGCCGACACTAAAATTCTTCGAACCCACCTAAGGAAACAGGTCACACGTTGTTTGGATGACCTCTCCGTTGTTACGATACATCCAGTGGACCAGCAGGCCATTGGACCAAGTGTCGAGGGGGATGGCATTGGCGGTGAATACCTTGGCATGGTTACAGGGGGCTCAGTCTCGATTTCATCATTTCCCTGCCACTTTGTGTGCAGGTCTTGTTGACGCGAGAAGGCATAGCACAGTTTCTGATATCCCTACTGAAACGTCTTGGGGACATGAGCGACCGGCGATCGACATCAAACAGGCAACAGGGCAGAATAAAGAAATGTGACACAGCAGGATTCTGGACACACGTCAAGACACGTGTCTTGAGATGCATTCTTATCCATTTTTGCTGCCTGACAACTCTTGAACGCCTCGTCGTAAACGCCCACCTAGGTTTTATCACTGGCTGGCGCGTGTGTCGTTGGTTGTGTCGTTGGTTGGCGCCTCCTTTTTGCTTGCCAGCGCCTCCCCCGCCAGACAAGCAAAAATAGTCTCACGAGGTCTCACAAGGAGGAGTGCTGGCAACAATCCAAGCCAAGCTCACATCATACAAGCGCAGATCACGTCTGCATGGCTTCCTTGACGCCATAAGAGGCCCGCTTCTTCTTCAAATGCGAGTCGAACAGGAGTGGCGTCTTATTGCGCGACTCGCTATGTAGCCAAGACCCATCGTCGGAGACGCCCCACACGCCGACGCATAGATGGACATGCATACCCAAGGTTCTTTTCTTTAACGTGTGCATGTGTCCATCCGTCACCTGTGCAGTTGACCGCGTCCATGCATATGCGCACCATGGCCTTGTATGCCTCGACCTTCAGCGTGGACAGATACACAAGTGCCCGTTCCTGCCTGCATCTGTCTGTGCCCACCTGCATGAACTCCCTGAGGTCGTTCATGCCATCGCATGCTTTGAATCGGCTGCCGTGCCAGTGACCGCAAGAGACGTCAAGCTGAAGGAGCAACAGACGACTCCTTTCATTGGCAACCTCAGATATCTGAACTTCCAGACCGATCTCGCTCAAGCGCTTGAACTGTTTCCGCACACCTGTATGCGTACACTCGCATAGAGTCGGGACATGCGCACTTCTATGATAGCGTGAAGCACTACATACCGTGGAAGTCGCGCTTCGCAATGTTTATGTGCGCCAGCACACCCACACCGTCCACGGGCACCCCCTTTCCATGCAGCTGCCGGCAATAATGGTACATGGCAGCAGCTTTCGGGCGCCCCTGCGTACAGACACACAGGCGTCCGTCAACACTAGGCACTCTTGCCTAGACGGTGTGCATTCCCACCCCTCGTCGCGACATCGAGTTGATTCCATAGTCATTGATGAGCAGCCGAACATTCCTCCTGTCGCCGACTGTCTGCTTGGCCTTCCTGTGTGAAAAACACATGTGATTAACGCGGCACAAATAAGTTCAGACCTGAAGGCGAGAGCTGGCCAGTCGTCACCACCTTCCGTCTTGGTCCAGTAGGATTCTCTCAGCCTGGGCTGCTCCGGGATGGGCTGGTCGTCAGGAAGGACTGCATACATGACACGTATACGTTCCACGCGGAAGCGACTGGACCGGGCTGTATGCATACCCTCATTGACAACGTCGATGGACCAAAGGGTGGGGTCATCACGAAAGTGCTCCATGCCCTTCTCTATGTGGTCTAACAAGATGCCCCTCCGTTTCCGTGGCGGCCGATTGAGCATCCAGCTGGGCATCTGTATACACGTGAATAGCATGAGTATCGTCATGCATGCGTACATCGTACACCCACCGCACGATGCCACACTAGTGTATACAGGCGGAAGCGAAGATCGAGGTCGTTAGCGACTTGAGCGATGGCGTCACAGTCTCCCCAGTCGAAGACTCCTTGCCGTGGTTGCGTAATGTCCATCTTGCGTGTACACATTACACATTTCCGTAGCACAACACCGGGCCGGGTTTGTGTACGCGCGTACATTCGTATTCAGCCACGATGAGGCTGGACTGCTCTCGCAGGATCTCAGTAGATTCGGGTGTCGAGACACACAGTGCCCACTTCGTGTGCCGACAGTCAATTTCATCTTTTAAGATCAGCTTAGGACAGCACTGGTCGCTTCCTCCTGGTCCGGCGGCACAGTCGTCATCATCTGTGCAGGTCCCACACTGACGGGCACAGAAAGCACCTGTTTTGGGATCATACTCGCCGAGTGCTATGTCCTGACGGCAAAGAAAGCATCATTCCCACAAATGCGGACGGTGTCTTAGTTTATACCACAGTACTCTTCCTCTGTCACTTGGAACACACAGGGCAGGGACGCATTCCGCTCGCACCTCCGGGGAGAGCGGATGAAGAGGACTGAGTCATTAGCGGTAGGACTGGTCCAGAAGCCAAGAATCGACTGTTTTTGATGGGTGATTGCAGTAAAGGCACATCCTGTGAAGTCAGATGTCTGTGCGGACCATGCAATGTCGCCCCCTCCCCCTTGAACGCGGGAGGGGGCTTCAAAAGGCAAGCTTCAATGGGTCAATGTTCGGTAGAAGACAATATGGCAGTTGTACACTGGCACAAATACTGCAGTTGGAAAGCCGTCGATGACTTGTGGGGGAGGGGAAGACAGACAAAGTGGGGCCTGGCGCGCCGAGTACATGCCGAAAGCATGAATTCACCTCATGCTTACTCCTCGTTTTCAGGCGCACTTTCTCACAATATCACTTAGCATACATCTGTCGGCGGAGAGCTATGGACGGTGGGGGGACGAGGCGGCTGCCGTCCTCAACCGTATGGCCCGGCATGTGCGGCCACCTGTCTATATGGAGGAGGGCGATGTGGAGTTCTTCCGTGAGACAGCAGTGGACAGGTGGTAAGCTCGACTTACTGTGCTGCTGCAGAAGGGCAACGCACACATGGTGCGGAGCAGGGCGTGGCGGGCAAGCAGGTGGAATGGGCAGGAGAGGGCGGGTTTTGCTGAGGGGCTGCTGCTAGAGCGGGGGCCTTTCCACCCTCGTTGATTGCAAGGGGTGGGTAGGTGGGCGTGCCTGGGTAGGTAGCGAATGCTTTGATCGTTGCTGTCAATAGTTTGGATGCGAACATGTAATCGACCGTCCCAGCGCATGGACACACGGACAATCTTACCCTTAACCACCACCACCATGGTCACAGTTTTGCAGTTTTCTGATGCCAAGTGTATGCCACTCTCCAACCCACAATATTTTCATTCGTTGACAAGATGAGGAAAACAAGCAAGGAGCTCAGTGAGACAGAGACAAATCATTGTCAATGATGCTCAAAACCCCCCGATGTATATGCATACATATGTATGTAGAACATGGCGGCCTTCGTCCTGTTTTACTGAATCACTGAAGGCATTCACAGCCAGCACATTTCTCACATCACACGCCTGTTCTCTTGTCTGTCACCTTCCACCACTGTGCCAGCTTGCCTCTCCCAATGCGGCTACCCCAATGCGGCACAGTGGTGGGTGAGAGCAGCAATTCTGCGACAGGGCCGTCCACACGACTGAGTCCTTCCCCCGCCGAATCAGGAGAGATGAGCGGTGAATCAGGAGACAACTTTGTGCTGTGTTTCTTTCCCGAATTCATATTGCGACGTTTTCTGATGTAGCAACGTGGCAATGGACAGACCATCAGATCTTCGGAAACCATCAATTTGACATTGTGCGTGGAATGAGGAAAAAGGAATGTTGACGCATGCACAAGCAACATCAAAACAAAGTAATTCGACACGCTCTGGTTTCGTTTTCGGGTGATGAAATCGGAAATGTTTTTTGTTTTTTTTTAAACCAACGACGACGGTGAGTGCAAGGCGCTCAAATGTTTTCACGCCTCACTCTACCTGTCCACCCGAGCAGGCTGATGTGGCCACCACTTTAGATCTGTTCATTTCCTCTCCGTTTTCACCTAGAGCAGCAACCTGATAGCACCGACACTTGCGGGTTCCCTCCGGGATATCCACCCAGTGTTCAAACTGTGTCTTGTCGACTTCTGCAAAAGCTGTTGTCAGTTCCTTGTCATCACAACTCTTCCCCGTCATAATTCGCCACTTCTTCACCTCCGTGGCACCATTCCAGCTGAAATGAAGCCGCGGTGTCCTGGTCGGGTTGTTGGCGTCGAGGAGGGCTGTCGGAGGCCACGTAGGCGTACCGATCCAAGGGGCCTTAAGAGCCCGGTACGCCCAAAGATTTCGAGACACAAATTGCATCTTGACCACCAAATCTCCTTCACCGGTCACTTCGAGGTAGAAAGGATTCCCGCTAGGCAGTCCTGATTTCATTTGAAACCCCAGGGAAATCGCACGATTGGCGTTGGACAGGCGCCTGTATGCGCCGGTTGCGTAGCTGAGAAGGACAAGCAGGCACAGGAATACATATGAGAAGTAATGAGTTTCTGAGCTCAAGTATTCGTGTTTCATACGATTTAACGCCGGTATCGTACGATGACACGAAACGGGCAACCTTCTCTGTGGCGTTAAGCTCGAGCTGATAGTCCACAGCGCGAGCCGTCCTCTTCCCTGCTCTTCTATAGTGATTGTCAAAGAGAGTGATCTTGTTATCTCCAATATCTCCCCGTCGTGTTGTCCGGTGAAACGCCCCCTTGGATCACCGATAATCCTGCAACCACCAATCACAATGAGACATCTACCCTTCTCCCCGGCGTTATCCGAAGTTTCCACCACTGCCCCCGAGCCGCCATATAATTTCGCCTGTCTCCCTGTGTATCTTGATCAATTGATGCAGGAATCGCAGCGATATGAGAATGCTCCCGTCGTCCATCTCGTCCAATGCGTTCGCATGTGCAATATCCCACACGCGCCTGCCCAAGAGGTAAGCATTGAACGTTATGACGTTACGCGTATGTACGTTGTATGTACGCGGACAATGACTCTACGTACCCACTGACGCCTTCATCGGCATGGCCGTAAATATGATAGTCTTTCACATTTGACGGGGTCTCCCAGAGCATGCGAGGCAAGTGGTCCCAACTTCGCCATTCCAGTATCACTTGACCTGGAAGAAAGGAGGCGTGATGAATGAGCAAAAAGCATAGTAATTGCCTGTCTCTTGCGAACCTTCTGGCGTGATTTCTTGAATAGTGAATCCTGTTAGCCACGTCATACTCGATGACTCCCCAAATTTAAGCTTCCCGCGTGTCTTGTGAATGTTAATTGGTTGAGGGTCATATATCAGAACAAGGCCAGTGCCCTTCCGGTAAGATCGCGCTGAGAGCTGGAAGTCATGATAATTCAAGCGGGCCCCATGATCTGCCGTGAATGCGGCGGCATTCGAGTAATCGGCCCCTCCAATGACGACCGTGCCGTTTGCTTCCCGAAGGATTAGCCGCCGGTTGTTTGTCGGGGAAAACGTACAGACATACATACTTGCCCTCGATGGTGATGGTTCGTAAAAAATTGGATCACCAAGGGAGGTCGTGATCATATGGAACTTGTCGGATTGAGAGGAAAGGTTGAGGTTGCAAGAAGAGGTAAAGACATATCCGTGGGAGAGTCTCGTCAGGTCGCCAGATGTCACCTCCATTCGTGGGTACCTGTGAGGGAGTGTCCTGGCCAGTCGCGAAATGACCGATCCAGGTAAAGACATCTCTACCATCTACATGCTATCGCCTACCATCGCCTACCTGTACGCACAGTTTGGCGTATGAATAACACCGCCACCCTTCCCTTCATCTTCGCAATCCTCACTGCCCATTATATGCTCGGGGCCTTCTTGGATGACCGTAGAGTTGCCACCTGGTATCCACATCATATCTCCAATCTTCTTGAGAAGCTGCAGGTCCTCCGGGCTCGACACAGATTTGCCTGTAGAGTTACGGGGTTCCATGGAATATGTGTCTTCTTTGCGCCATGACATGGTGAAGCTCCACTGGGCCGCGGGCAGCGCTTTCCCAGTGCGCGTTGTGATACCCGAACGCACGTTCACGTAGGCTTTCTCGCCGGGCTTGAAGGGTTCGTCAGGCCTGAACCATACCGTTCGGCCGTCCTGAAGAAGGTCCATCTTTCCATTTGAGTGCTCGCCCGATTCTTCTCCCCGGACGCTAATCTTGCCGTCAATGCTGTCTCTGTCCACCTTGTCCTTCGGCCTGAAGGCAATTGTTGTGTAAGGCGAGACGAGGACGGCGTTCGGCAGGGGATGCGCATAGACATAGGGGGTCGTCTCCTTCAAGACTTGAAGGCTCACACAAAGTTGCGGCTCATTGTCTTCGCTTCGTATCTTGGGCGCTGCACCAGGGTCAATTCCATTCGCGCGCAGAGAGGACAATAGCTGTTCTGTGTTCATCCGAGACACTGCTTCATCTCTGATCGCCGTGCCTGGACGCCCCAACAAAGCAGTAGCAATAGAGAGAATATACGCACTGTGCAAGGTGCACGAACGAGGATGTGCCTTACACGGCATCACCACGGTTGTGAGTTAGGCGGATAGTAACCCTTAAAGTTCGGTCTCAGCCAACCTCGCGCTTCAGCAAGAGAAATGCGTACAGACAGCTGCAGCGTGAGGAGATGCGCTGAGATATATGAGTGCTTTCGCTTGGCGTCCCAGGCGTCCCAGGGAAAGGGAATCAGCTCGCAGCCCCCAGTCTCCAGAGGGGTTTTCTCCTTTCTGCGGCATCGCCGCCCGCGCCTGAGGGCGCCACTGCGTCCGTCTCATCGTGACGGACCTGACGATACCTGTTTCGTCTTCCCCTGAACCCAATTTCACCCGGCGCTACTGCGCCTCCTTGCTTGTTCGAGTCCCAGTGCAAAGCACCTCGGTGGGAGCCTGCCTCGGCTTCCCACGTCTTGTTGACCCCTTACCGACCCCGCGAAGGACCTGCTGGCCTGCGGCTTTCGGAGGCTATCTGAGGCTTTCGTGACTGGCCGTGTGCCAGTGCAAGCGTGCCGCGTGTATCTGAAGACGTCGCTGCCAGGCCGTGAGCCTGTTTGCGCCCGGTGGACGCCCCGGCCGGCCGTGCGCCGGTGTCGAGTGTGGTTGCTGGCCGTGTGCCAGTGTCGAGTGTGGTTGCTGGAGGACAGCTCTCTGCGACAGGCCGTGCGCCTGTGTCGCCTGGCCGTGGGCCTGAGGAATTACCTTCTCCGGCCGTGAGTCGGCGTCGAGGTGGGCCGTGTGCCTATTGAGTGACCGTTGCTGCAGGCCGTGTGCCTGGACCTTCCTGATTTTGCCGACCGGCTCTAGCCGGAGAGACACGCGAACGGGTGGCCGCTGCATGCTCTACACTGTTGTTTGAGTGTGCGGACTCGCGTTCGGTCAATACTCTGACTTCCCCCCGTATGCTACCTGGCGGACTCGCCCTGTGTCTACTCTTTTTGCTCTTTGGGGTGATGAGTTTGGATCTACATTTGAGACATGTCCGGTGTGTTTTGAGGACCGGCCTGCGAGGGACTTCGTCTGCCTCCATGACCACTGGCCCTCTCTCCCGCGTGACCCGTCGCGGGGAGACCAGAGCTCCCACCGCTGCTGCACCTATTGCGTGGTGCGGCTGGCCGAGACCCAGAGAGCTCAGCTTCCCATCTACGTCGAGGGACGAGCGTGTGCGCTTCATCAGGCGGGATCCACGTCAGCAACTCCCCCACCCCTCATTGAGTGCCCAATTGGCCGGGACCTCTTCTGCCCAGAGTGTCTGCTTGGTGTCTCTGATGTCTCCGCCCTTGTCCTCGCCCCCGATCCCCTCCGACCCCCTCCCCCCTCCTCTGAGGACCGCGTGTGTCCTGGATGCTCTCTTCAACGGCCATCTGGCGAGGACTTTCGCCATCTGTCGTGCCGGGCCTGGAATTCGCTCGTCTGCGGGCCTTGTGTGGAGGCAGAGGAGTCCGCCCGCCGGAATTCGCGCATGGTGGGGAACGAGGAGCACTGTCCTTTTGCAGAACAGCTCTGGCATGCCGCCCTCTTGGAGCTAGAAAGGGAGTGGGGGTGGCCTCCCTCTTCGTGGG